GGGTGCGCCAAAACACCCCCCCAAAACCCCCCTAATATTAAACCCAAACCGCCGAAATCCAGTTTTAATATTAGAGAGGGGGGGGGGAGGGGGGGGGGGCCCTTTAATAATAGGGGGAAGGGATTAGCTAGCTTCTGAGTTATTAGGAGCCCTAAGCCGTTAACCATCAGAAAGTATATAGACAGTAAACCCAGTCAAGAGTCAAAACTTAAAACGCCAAAGCTCCTCAATCCAGATTCCTAGCAGAGGTTCGTGTGAATGTGGCACAACTGGCGCTGGCAGCCGCCTCCATGTCGCCGAAGCGAGCGGAGCTCACTTCTCAGAACCGCTCCCTAAGCTGGGCTTCTGTTAGCTGATGTACGTAGAGTTGTACATATATGCACGTATATACATATACACGTACACATACAATGTATGTCATACGTACATACATACATTTGCATTATATACATGCAAAAGATCTGGCATGCACATGTAAACGTTCGGGAATTACTGGGTGATATGTTTTGGGGTTCTGGTTAAGTTTTGTATCCCAGGTTTCGCATAAGGGCTTACAGGCAGAGTGTAGGGGTGTGGTCTATTTTCTCCTGCCCCTAAAAGTATGCTTTTGGCTGCAGAAACATCGCGGATGGGTGAGGCTGGTCGGAGTGTGCGAGCGATGGGCCCACCCAAAGGGTCTAAGTACCCATATAGTAGGTATTTTGGGCCCCAAAGTATCTACCATATTAGTACTTAGACCCTTTGGGCAACTCCTATACAGTTCAAGGGGGTTTGAGCCTGCACAGCGCTTGCTGCACCTGAGGTTCTCTGAGCCGCGCGACTGGGAGCAGTCTGAGAACCTGGTCGACACGCTGGCGAGTAAGCCAGACCAGGATCCGCCACTTGGCAACCAGATGCAACAAGAAAATGGTAGTTAGTTGTGGAAAACAGCCAAAAGCTGTTCGAGAACAGTGATCAACATGATGCTGGCGGTTCCTGCTCTTGATCAGCCATACAGCGACAAAGGCCAATATATCACTGTAGGGGAAAAGCTGTGGTGTTTGCTCTTCACTCACTCCTTCCCTCAACCCGAAGCCTTAAACCCTAAGCCCTATAAGCCCTAAACCCTTTCCTACCTGAGAATCCCAAATCCCGGGCAGGAGCTAGGTGCTTCAGGTCTCCAGGTCGGTTGTAGCCGGGATGACATCCGTTTCATTGTGGCTTTGGGCTTCGAGTTCAGGAGTCAGCGGCCAATCGCAGTGAACAGAAGTGAAGTCTCGACGGAAGTGTCAAATCATCGCAAAGTGCTTCGTGCATCTAGCAGATTACTTGTGTGGTATCCTTCTTCGGCGTGTTCTCGTGAACTCTCTGATGCTCTTCTGTTATCTTCTCTAGATGACGAATCTGCCTTCGAGAAGACCCAGTTGCTCTGCAAGGCTGCTTGCCATCCAGGCGTACTTGCAGGCCCTGCATGTTGCGAGGTTTTTCGTGGCTTAAGGCTCACTTTAGCTTTTAGGGGTTTGGGGGGGGGTGCAACTTTTGGGTGCTTCCTTGGCTGACAATGACAGTGGCTATGGTCCTCATCAAAATGTCATGTTGCTGAAAAGTAACTTCATCAACACAAATAAGAATCTAAGACCAATAATGATGACACAGACGCGGACTGAGACTTGGACACAAACAGATTGACAGACAGACAGAGAGACAGAGACAGAGACAGAGACAGATAGACAAAAACACTGACAGAGACAGACACAGACAGACACAGACACTGACAGAGACAGACAGAGACAAACGGTGAGACAGACCGAGAGACCATACCCTTAGCAAGCAAGCAAGAAAGAGAGACAGACAAACAGAGACATACAGACACAGACAGACAGAAACACTGACAGAGACAGACACAGACAGATGCAGACACTGACACAGACAGTTACAGATAGACATAGATAAACACGGACAGACACAGACAGACACGGACAGACACCGACAAATACAGACAGACACAGACAGACGCAGACAGACGCAGACAGACGCAGACAGAGACAGACAGAGACAGACAGAGACAGACAGACAGAGACAGAATAATATAGACACAGATAGACACAGACTGACACAGACAGACACAGACGGACAGACACACGCAGACACACACACACACACAGAGCAGAGTCACTCAGAAACACACAGAGACACAAGAGACACACAGACACACACACACACACACACACACCCAGACATACAAACAGACAGACAGACAGACAGACGTACGCTCATATTTACCTACCTGCAATCGAGTGCAACACATGTAGATGTGGGTCGGAGGAGGGCAAAGATCCCGGCAAGCTACGCCTTATCGAACAGAAGCTGGTGCCACTGGCCTCTTGGACGGGTGCAGCTTTCGGTCTTGAGACCTTCGGCCCTGGCCCCTCGAATTCCCTTTCTTGCTTTAAGGTTTTTAAGGGTTTAGGGTTTTGGGTTCTAAGGGTTTAGGGATTTTAAGGGTTTAGGGTTTAGGGTGTAGCATGGGTAGTTATGACTGAGGTTATAAGTAGGGTCACTATAGTTATAACCCATATGAGGGGACTTCTAACCCCGCTTATAACTACCCATGAACCTCCAAGTAGAACTCTCTGTCTTGCCTTTGTGAGGTGATTGCTTGACCTTATAAGTATGCGGGATTCGACGGTTCCGAGTGGAGGTCCGGCATGCATGCAAGTGGTTTTGGAACCCCAGACCCTGAAGATCCTGCGGGACACTTGAATTGCATATGTCTGCTTCTCGGTGCCTTTTTCATCTGACGATAGGTCTCTCTGTGTCGTTAGCAGTTATGAGCTTCGTGCAGAAGTTGGAGATGTGCTATTCCAAGAGGTTGGAGAAGCCTGAGACTCTGCGCAGAGCTCTTCCGTTCCTTGGAAACACGTTCTTTCCTGGCACATGGCCATACCAGCCCCGGCAAGTTGAAGATTAGAACAAACACCGCCAGCCCAAACCGTATGCCCCAAACACTCCCCTATCAGATTCCCCGTTCAGCTTTTGGTTTACCATAGCCGTTTCTGGTGGCGTGGGACTACTGCTGTTTGTGATACTTCGAAGCACAGCTTCAGGCACCGATCCCCCGCGCAACCAAGCTGCATGTGTCCTCTTTAGGGTTTAGGGTTTAGGGTTTAGGGTTTATGGGGCGTGATTGAGGTCTGTGGTGGGCTGAGACGCATATGAGTCTGATACAGGTCACGACAGCGGAAGCTCACAAGAAGAGTTCCCCGAGCGACACTAGCCACATATATATATATATATATGTATACATTATATAGACATATATATATATATATGTATACATATATATATATATATATGAAAGTAAATAAAAGTATATGTATACGGCAGTATTGTCCGACAAAGTATAACATACGACCCTTGACCACGATGTGGCATACCATCATCTATAGCAAAACATTATACCTTAGACCAGCAGTTCGCATCACAGTCCTGCGCATGTGAAGTTCGGTGGGGCCCTCCTAGGATCCACCACGAGGACCACATAAGGAAACAAAGAAGGTCGGTGAGGAGAGGTTTTGGCTGTAGCTTTTTTTTGTCTGGGTTCTTTCAGGGATGCTCACGGTTTGTTCTTTTAGAGCTTCTTGGTGCTGAAGTGCAGGTTCAAGGCATCACCCAGAAGCCAGCAAAGCCTTGCATCTTCGGATTCCTGAACCTCGTCAAGCCTGCAAAAGTAGACGTGAAGTAGAAAGTATGGCGGTGCAGTAGTTGTGGTCGTTCATGTCGTCCGTCTGGTGAAAGCATGTTTGATTTGAATTAGCATGGTAAGAGATACCTCAACCTGGAAGCTTGCCTATATCCCAAAGGGTCTAAGTACTAATATGGTAGATACTTTGGGGCCCAAAATACCTACTATATGGGTGCTTAGACCCTTTGGGTCACTCTAAACCCTAAACCCTAAACCCTAAACCCTAAACCCTAAACCCCTAAACCCTAAACCCTAAACCCTCGAGGTCCCACTTAGGCCCTTTGGGTATGAGAGCTATGAGGTAGTGCAGCGCCTGCAGCTCATCTTCCTGGCCCGGACTCTCTCTGCTTGGGAGGAGTCGGCCAGGCCCGGATATCCGAAACCAGAAGGATTAAAAAAAGTATTATAATATAATATAATATAATATAATATAATATAATATAATATAATATAATATAATATAATATAATATAAAAAAAAACGCAAGCCCAAGTCCGAATACCGTCGGAGTTGAATCTAGACGATGGCAAAACGGCTTGTGGATATTGGGTCAAGCGCCGATGTTTCCAAGCAGCCATGGACGAGACACCTCCAGAAGCTTTGGTTTTTGTCGGGCCGGTTGCTCTGGTTTGGGCTACACGTGTTGTGCAGCCGCCTTCGGAGATCCTTCTAGCAAGCTTCAGCAGTAAGCCGATGAGGCACGAGGTCACCCTAACCCCCCAGGTACCTACTATATAGGGCACTAGAGCCCCTAGGGCCGTATGTACTAGGTACCTGGGGGTTAGGGTCAAGTGAACTTGATCCGGCAGTTTCTCATCGGAACCTTGAGTCTCGAAGCGAAGATATTGGCACCGGGAGGCTGCCACAGAGCTGTGCTTAATGAGATTTGCAGGCTCCAAACCTTATTTCCAAAAACATGCATAGCTGCACACGCTCCTAACTCCAGTGAGTTTTTGATGGACTTGGTCAGCCACGTGTTGATGTTTTAGGCTTCGTGGGGCTACTCTGGTGTAAGGGCCCAAGCCAGGTCAGCAGTGGGCTTGTTGGTCAACACTGCGACTGCGGTGTCCCGGCATGAAGTGTTTTAAGCGAACAGTGGTACAGTAGGGGGCTTTGAAAGGTCTTTGTTTCAATGGCTGGTCGTTGGGAAAGCGTTATCAAATTCATGATAGTGGTCCGCCAGGAAACAAGCGGACGGGCACCCTGTCGTGGTTCCCGTTTCAGAGGACTTCAAACAGAAGCTGCAAGTCGCCAGAAGCATCAATGCCCGAATTCGAAACCCGGTGAACGCAAGCAACATCCGCCTGTTATCTGGGAGGCGGCCTTGTCTGTTCTTGAGTCTGAGTTCCCGAAAGCATCGCGAAGGGTTCTTCCGTGCGGAGCCTCGCAGAGAAAATACATAGAGAATACGTGGAGTCAAGTACACTTGACTTTACCACACTTGACTCTACGACACTTAGCTTTACCACAC